TACCGGGCACATCACTTGGGGTCCGAAAATGGGAGTTGGCATTATCTACCAAATCAAATTGTCATGAACCAATCTGATAGGCCGCGACGAGTACCCGGTACCTTACTCAACTGAGTACCAACGTAAGGTATCTTTCTTATTACATCATCATATACATGTGACATACGGGTCTAATAGGCCAACATGATCATTTATAAATTCAAAACATAGGCCGACAAGGCCGTACAATCTTTCTCGTACACGACATATGTCTACAAGCCTCTAAGAGTACACAAATATCATAAAGGTCAGGACAGGGCCCCGCCATACTAATTAGTACATGTCTTAATCATACTGACCACATAAGTAACTTCGGAGCAAATGGAGCGCACCAACACCTTCCGCTGAGCTGATAGCCTACTTGGAGGACTCTCGACCTGTCTATCAGGACCTACGGGCATGAAACGCAGCGTCCTCAGGCAAAAGGGACGTCAGTACGAATAATATACCGAGTATGTAAGGCATATAAATAAGTACATAATAGACATGGAAGAAATATAAAGTAAATGACTCAACTTGTAAGTCTGATAACTCCGTAAATCATGAAATAATTATAGTGTCATGCATATGTGTGTGAATGTCATGTCGTGCATAGGTACATGTTTCATAACATCATCAGGCCTCTGAGGGCATCCCATCATATCATCTCGGCCACTGTGGGCAAAATCATCAACGTATACCAGCTGATCAGGTGGTGGTGCGTATATAACGTCGTAACCTTTTTTCTATATATATATATATATATAAATACACGTATATAACGCCATCTGGTCATGGGTCAATGTAAATGAATGCAATGCATGAGAAATACGTCAATAAAATCTTCCGGAGTATCATAAGACCATTATGCCTTTGATTAATATCATGAAATAAACTTTATCAACTTACGTATTTTTTGAGACCCATGAACAGATGATAAAATAATAGGACACGTGGAGAATTAAGAACATAGGCATCTCTAGCATTTTTACGAATAGAGTCATTTATGGAAGTTGTACATTTTCTCGTTTTGTTTGTATCGTATAGATCATGCCAAAAGAAATAAGGGATAGCCTTAGCATACCTGGAGTAGGGGAAAATCCGTATGATATTCTTGAAAAAGGTTGCACCGTACTCCTTTAGAATCGCAAAATCTCGTTGCTATTACGCAGTATAATTTTGTATGAATTTCTTCACAATTTTAAGAGCTATTTTAACATAAAGTCCCATATGAACTCCAAAATCTCCTCCAAAAATGGATTTTTGATATCAATTGAACATAATTGTAAAGATGACTAACATGGTGATTCTTTCCACGTTTTTTAGGGCTAAGTGCATAGTATACTTTCATTTTTGAAATGGGGAATGAACCTTGTTGAAAATTTCTTATGTAAATCTTACATTTCATATCATCTCTCTTTGTTAGAGATGTCTTTTATTATAATAGATGTGGGACCCACCTTATAAGGCTTACTTGCCAACAATTTCCTCCAAATATGATACCTTGTTTTGTAATTCAATAGTCATTACAACATGGGTTGCTGCCACGTTGGGGTGGATTTAAGCTTATCCAAAGTTTATCCACCCATTTCCTTAATTACATGGTTAATCTTTCACTAAAAATCCACAATTAACCAAATATTCACATAATTAAAAATTATCTCAAATTACTTAAAATACTACTCACTTTTATCATACTTTATACATTTTACTATCATGATCGTGTGGTACCTTGTATGACACTAGTCCATAAATATCGGGTATTTTAGCTCGGGCCGTATTTTATCCCAAAATATCAAACTTCGACGAAATTCATTTGCTTCGATTCGCTTACCCTCTCGCTTTCACGAATTTACTTATCCCTTGTTTGAAATAACATAATACTTATAATCTCAAAATAATCTCATTCCCGAGATTACGTCGATTAACTTACGACGAAACTTTAACGTAGAAAAAAAATGCGGGATGTAACATCTCATTTTCGAGCTTTCATCATTTTATTTATGGCGAACTTCCACATACGAAAATATGGGGTGCAACACAAATTTTCCCCAAAGTGCCGAGACATCATCCTCGGTTGGTATAACTGTGTCAACGAGTCGAGCATCATGTTGAGATGATGAGGATTGTAGCCTTTTATGTAGAGAAACTCCCTCGTCACTAGCTTCTTCCTCATCATTAATCATCACGGTGTCTATGACCAGCCCGGAAGGAGGACCGGTCACCATCACCACCAGAGATGACTCGTGGGCATCAGTCTTTGCCCTCTTATTCTTTTCTCGGAGATACCTATTCGAGTAAGTGCCTTCTGAAACAGCCTTGCTGCATCAGTAAGATCAGCCAAGACATCCTCCTCAGGACAACAATAGAGCCTGCAGGTAAACCTAATTTCGTGAACAAGTGAGAAGGGTTCGACCAAGTTCTCCATATATAAAAAAATGGAAGCAAGGTAAGTAAACATTACCATGATTTTTGGCTTTCTACCCGTATTTAAGGGCCAGTTCTTTCCACAAACGAGTTTCGGGCGTCGTGACGTCCAAGATCTTCTGAACCCACTGGTCTAAGCCTTCCACCACTGATGGGATCCATCGAGTTGCTGAAACATGCGAAAGGTGAAGAGTCGATACAGCCATAGAAGAATATTTAGTGAAAGAAAATATATTAAATAAAGATCTTACGAATGCGGTACAAGTGGACGGAAAGGATGAACCCATTGTTGGAATGATATTATTGGTGGCAACTACAACGAACCGTTCCGTCCACCCACGGTCGTTATCATCATCCATGTTAGTCAACAGAGCATGATGACCACGTTTGTAGAGGTTTATCATACCCCCACGGAAATTTTTGGGGGAGTAAAGATTCATTATACGAGCTAATGTTAGCTCTTCTCCAGTCTCCTGGCACAAGCATCGAAGGCAAGCGATCGTCCTCCACACTGAAGGACTTACCTGTGCCAAACACACTTGCCAGCGAAGGCAAAACTCCGCAATCACGGAATCAAGTTCTCCACTCAAAAAAAATGCACCCAAAGTAAATGGATACGTGTAAAATATGTAAAACCTTCCTTGGAAAGGGTCACTCGCTCCGATAGATCAGGAGCGACGATATCCAACTCATGGCAGCGACAGTCTTCCTTCACAACAGGAATACTGGAAGGACGAATGGAAGAAAGGTACCTACTAACAGCCCATGTACGCGGGTTAACAGTAGGGAATTTTTCTTCAACGTCCTTTGTGGCACTAAGTCTTCTTGGGATGATGGAACTCACCATTGTAGGAGCAGAATCCTCGACTTTGTTATTGTTCTTTGAAGAACTGGCACGCTTGGAGGAAGAAGCCATTGAATAGGAAGAAGGAAAAAGTTTTTGTTTGAAGAGAATTAGAGAAAGGATGGAGAACAAAGATGCAAATGAGAAGCTCGAGAACTTATGAAGTGCAAAGGAAAAGAATGATGCGTATAAGTAAAGACGACTAAATTTATGGCCATGATTACCTCGACAATCGGCAAAAGCTGTGCTGAATCGTGGGATAACGCGTGTTTGGGGCATTAAATGCGGAGAGATATACAGAAGCCTTCAGATGGAGTTATAGTAATTCCCGCCAAAAGAGTGTTTCTACCAACTTCCCGATAACACAAAGTTATGTCACCGAAAAGCAGGGGAACTATCTCTATAGGGTGAAATATGATATGACACATGGTCATCTAAAGGAACGACACGTGGAACCCAAGACGGGGATGATCAAAGACCGAACGCAGTTATTCCGCTTGTCACCGGAAGGGATAACGTTCATAAAGGTGCATTAAATGCTCTGCGCCCGGTAGCATTTAATAAGAAATATTTTACAGTATTAAGAGCTATGACCCGTTACAGAGAATTTGACATTTATGTTCACCGTTACATCTTCATCAATGACCCTCATAATTGACATTAAAGGAGGGCATGATCCTAGGACCTCCTTCCCTAGACACATCTATAAATAATGAGCCCAGTTATCATTGTAAATGACACGAATTTTCTGGCTAAACTTACACTACATTCTATACAAAGTTTAATACAATCTTACTTTCCCGCTTTTTAATCTCATCATTGTTGTGCCTGAAAACTTTGTTCCCGAAACCGTCATCTGTGTTGTTTCATCTACATTTTAAGGCTAAGTATTGTACATTTCTTTAATTATTGCATTATTTCAGAATCAAATTTGTTCATTTATCTAAAAATCACGTATAAATTCAATTATACCATTTTACAGGTAAACAATAGTGTTATATGTTACTGGAATGAAACTTTTCTATACTTCTCCAAAAGCAAAATTTCGATTAGTGTACTATAATATCCTGTTTAGCTAATTATTTTCCCACTTTGAATGAGATTTATTATATAAAAACACGAATAAAATAAAGATTATAGTACATACCAAGTATGGTTAAGTACTTTTATTGGCTGGTATGGTTTGTAAATCCATCTAACCATAATTTGGCAGGTGACAGCGTATAAACAAATTGGTTAATTACCAAGTTTGGTGAAGAGAATAATATATTTTTTTTGAAAGCCGAAGGATGAAAAAACTAGAAATACATTGACATTCTAGTTTTGACTAATTTAGTTAATTCTAGAGTTTATGCCCCAAAAAAATATCAAAGAACAATGAAATCAAATACTATGAAGATAGCAGAAGTGGATTTTGAGTATATTAAAGCATCATTTAAGGCACACAGCTATATTAACATTCTTATTAGTTTAGAGTTTAAGTTCAATACACTAATGTTGCTAGAAATATTTAAATAATTAACTTATTTATAAGATAATTATAAGTATATTATTAATTTTTTATGATAAGTAATACCAATAATGTAAGGAAGTAACATAACTTTAGTTTAGCCGTGTCTTACGAATTCGTTATAACTTGAATTATTTTGTCTAAAAAATTAAAAGTCCTAGAAGTGTGATAGAAGAAAAAAGCTTCTTAAAAGGGTGTTAAGAGGAGCATTGAGAAGTTTGGGGACAACGCCGAGATGAAAATGAAAATAAAAAATAGCTCAAGGTCCAGTTGACTTGACGGTAACTGAAGCCGCTCTGAAATCAGAGCTAGCTGTTTCAAACGGTCTTTTCTTCCGTTTTTATCTCTCCGGCGATACGCGTTTCGTTTTTCTTTATTACTTCTTCCGACTGACGTCTTGACGCCGTCAAATCTCTTTCTCCTCCCGATCTTTTTTTTTTCTCCTCCTCCGGGAGAAAATCTAGGTCCCAACGATGTCATTAAAAATCTAGAAATTTCTAAAAATTCATATACATCTATCTATACTTGTGTAAAATCACACACACACACACACAGAGTTGCAGAGTAGATGGATCGGCGGAGGACGGGAAGTCCGGTGTACGCTCGGCAGTGGAGTGGAGGATCAAGCAGCACGGGTTCATCTTCGCCGGCGGGATCTCCGGCTCATCCCCGTGCTCGGTTGCCTCCTACGGTGACAGGCATGTCTACTATAAAGAGGACTCAGAATGTCGCCGCCAAAGCTGCTGCTCAGCGTTTGGCACAAGTCATGGCTTCTTCTCAGCCGCCTCCTGATGACGACGAGGATGATGATGATCTAGGGTTTCGGCGTCCTACAGCTGCTTTATCCACTAACGACCGTAGGAGTAATAGCAACAACAGGAGCAGTGGTTTGGCAGCTATTTCACTAGCCAAGCCTAATAGATCTCCTTCCCCCGCGGTAATTTTGATTAACTCTTTTTTATTGAATTGTGTTTCCTATGCTAAATTTTCTGCATAGTTATTGACTATTGCATGATGTGATGTGAGGTTATGAGTGATTCGTTGTTGTTGCGTAATTAAGTGGATTTGCTTGGATTGAATCAGTTGGTTAATCAGATTATTGATGGGGAAAATTAAGAGTGAATTAGAGGGAACAAAAATATTTGCAGGTCAACCCTTTGCTTAGGCAATACACTTTCTGACTTGAAACATATGCAAACATTGCTTGACTATGAGGGAAAGCGCAGTCATGTGANTGAAGAGAAGAAGAAGTCATGAAGCCGCATGCTATGGGGTGTGGGCTATTAAATATTGGTTTCTCTTGTCCAAAAGAAAAAATAAGAATGAAAAAATGGCTTCTATATAAAGGAGATCTCACTGTTGCAAAAGTGAAGTCTGTCTGACTCTTGTGATCTGTTGTGCACTTTCTGGAAGACATGTCTACTTGTCACTTTTTGTTTTTGTAAAGGACTAATGCTTTTAACTATTCATAGAAACACTTTGCTTGAGGCTTCTTTTCTGATGATAATTAGATGCTACCATGTTTAGTTAGGTCGGAACTTTATGGATCACACTCCTTCTGTTCGTTCATCGTCAACTGGAAGAGCCTCGATGTCTGTTCGTACGTCAGTAGCAACAACAACAACCGGAGCAATAGTGCCGCCAAGTAGGTCATCATTGAGAACTCCAGTTTCCATACCGCCAGTAGAACCTCCTAGTAGTCGCTTGAGAGAGAAAAGGTAACCATTGTTATTATTTTATCTTCTACTCATACATCTACTAATTTCTTGATTTAATTCAATTTTCTAAATGTTGTACACGTTGACTAGTATGATTAGCTTGAACTAGCAGCATTGTGTCTTATTCTTCGTGTAATTTGTTAAAATGCATCTTGTGGTTGGCTAAACTAGTGCACGTTTAACTTCAAATTTCCAATGCTTATTTAATACTTGCATTGAAGATATGGATTACTACTTCTGTGTTGCCCATTTTGAAACTCGAACTAGAAACAGATTGCAGTTGGACTGAAACTGAAATTGTGACTTTGTGACCTGACGTTGAGTTTCTGTCTAGTTCTCATCTTGTCTAACTTTTGGCATTTTAAATCATCTTTTCATTGCTTATGATGTTTAATTTGTAAAAGATTGGATGTAAATGTAATTTATTTATTGAATTCATGTCACACTACATAGAATTAAGGGACTACTCATGTGGTCATAGAATTAAGGAATATTCCTATGATTTTCAAGAGCAATCAATCAACTATCAGTCGACTGCGCCTCCATTCCATATGTTAGACTACATAAGAAAGCATTCTTCCTGTGACATACAGGAGCGACTGTGGCAAATAACCATATGACATACTCACTCCGTTTCAATTTATGTGAACCTATTTCCTTTTTACTCTGTGCCAAAAAGAATGACTCTTTTCCATATTTGGAAACAATTTACCTTTTATGCAATGATGCCACCCAAATTATATGTGCCTCATTTTACACTACAAGTTTAAAAGTCAAACTATGTGCCCAGTCAAATAGGTTCACATAAATTAAAACGGAGGGAGTATATGAAAATTATACTATAATTGATGTCCCCAACTGTATGATATTTCGATGCAATGTGCATTCTTTTGTATCACGGCAAGCGACGATGATCTTTAACTGTATTAGAAATAATTTTAGGTTCACACCAGAATTAGGACGCATTGATTTGAAGGGTTCAGGAAATGAGCACGAGGCTTCTGCGCTTCGTGATGAGGTATGTCATCTAAGTGAAGATGCTGTCTGGATGGCTTCTAAAATAGGCTAGACTTATCCATTCTGGAGCATGTCTTCATTATCTCTTGAGGCTCGCGTAATTTGGATGATTGGATAAATGACAGTTTTGATAACATTCGAATGAGAATTTTGTAATTCCTTTGCAGCTTGATATGCTTCAAGAAGAAAACGATGTTATTTTAGATAAGGTTAGCTTTCTTACCTTTCTACATTTAGAGAATAGATGAAAAAATAGCTTGAGCGACTTTGTGTTTTTCTGGATCATAATGGCTGATGTAACTTACAGCTACGTCATACAGAAGAACAACGCGAAGAAGCTGAAGCTAGGGTTCGTTTGTTGGAGAAACAGGTAATTCACCAATAGTAAATGGTCTGTTCCCAGGGACACTTTAAAATGTTAAGTTAATTATAAACACCAATAGAAGGGGTGAAGCTGATTACTGTGCGAAAGCGGTTTCAGTCAACTAATGATAATAACTCTATCTGGTCTTTACTCAGTGAGACATAGTTTCCTTATGGCTTTAGAACAGGATTCTAGTTTTTGAGGTCATGGTTTGCCTTAGTTTAGTTTTCTAGATTTAACAGTTGTATGAAGCTATTGCAATTCCTTATTTACAGGTTGCTTCTCTTGGAGAAGGACTATCACTTGAAGCCAAATTATTAAGCAGGTACTATTTGTAATGTTTTCTCCCCTTCCATATTTATGCTTAACAAACATTGTCTGATGGTATGCATAATGACAACAGGAAGCAAGAAGCACTTCGCCAGAGAGAGGTAGCTTGCAGAACTGTGATTACAAGTAGTGAAGTCATACATGATTACTCAACTGTGTCACTGATTCGTCAAAGACTGTTGCTTGTCAAACCCTTTTAGTCTTTTAACTTTAGCTTATGTGTCTACTGTCTAGACAAGTCTTAACGGAAATTAGGATAATTATCATGCTTGCTTGCTTAATGTTTATGCTTCTATTGCTTCTGGTCTGATGATACTGTTTTTCTCCTGCAATGTTATTGCAGGCTGCTCTTAAAGCTGCACAGCAAACTAAGGATGGAAGAGATGAAGAAATTACAATACTTCGTACTGAAATTGAAGTTAGTTCATGCTACTCTTAGGACTTACATCCCCCCTCCCCCCCCAAGTTCGTGCTACTCTCTGGGTGCTGGGTGCTTTTTATTGTCACTGATCTTTCTCTTTACTTTTTGTGCAATTTTGTTTTAATCAGAACTTGAAGGACGACACTGCGAATGCAATGGAACAACTTCAGGAAGCTGAATCTGAAGCAAAAGCTCTTCGAACAATGACACAGAGAATGATTTTGACCCATGAAGAGATGGTTATTGTTTGAATTCTTGCGAAATAACTTTTTTGCTTTAGCTTCAAATTTATGCTACTCACTACTCGGTCTTCCTCACTTTGATCTCTGTTGGCCTTTTGACATTCTAGGAGGAGGTGGTTCTAAAGAGATGTTGGCTATCTCGATATTGGGGCCTAGCTGTACACTATGGTAATTTGCTTAATCAGAATTTTCTTGTGGATTTAATCAGTGGTTGTAATATGTAGTGTACTGTTTTGAAGTTACAATCTTTAGCATCTTTTTATGAGAAAGAACAATCTTTTGCATCTTTCGTTTGCTTATATGGGAGAAAACGTGTTTCTTGGGCTCTTGGCTTAACAAGTAGAGAAATACCATGATTACTGATAGTGTACAAAATGTAGCAAAATGTAGCAAAATTTGAATTTTGAGAAAGCTCCTCTAGTTCAGTTGACTTGAGAGATTGATGAAGTTTTAGAGAAGGTTCAAGTGAAGTTAGTTTGTCCTACATCGACCTCCAGATACACCAGTCCTTAGGTGCGACGCCATTGTGATTGAGGTGTTAAAAGGGGGGTCGAGTATACGTGAAATCACATGGAAGAAAGTTGTCTTGAAATACCTACAATCCCTTGGAATCCATTCAAATCTATAGAATAAAATGGCGTAATAGAATAAAAATATATATATATATATATATATATATATATATAGGCAACACCAATTAGGTCGGATTAAGTTTAGTTATGTTAGTACGCTAACTTTAGGTCCAATGTGCATTAGGAGTCTTTTGGTTTTGTCATAGATTAAGATGCCTTTAAGTTTAGGAAATGTAGAAAACTTCTAAGTTTTTATAATATTGGATCGAGACGAGTTTAAATGGAGCGAGACGGACACTGGGGATTCATATGATTCAAAAATACCCCTATCGTATCCGATTTGTCTTAAAATATCCTCCGTTAACCTATTGGATCATGAGAGCTCTTACCGCATCTTTTCGGCCTAAATTTACCGTTGCCTCTGCCAGCAGACTTATTTTGGCCTGCGGGGGACGTTTAATTTAAAACATGGCGGCCCATAAAGCTTCCACGTGGAAATCACATTTTAAATAAAGAGAAACTTAAATAGCCGCCCGCCCAAAAGTTAGCCGACAAACGTATATATTATTGGACATAATTATTGTATAATATATGTATATTGGCTAGGGGCTATAAATATTTTTGACTGAGCGGCCAAATGTGTTAAAAGCCCTTAAATAAATTCCCGACCCGCCTCAAAATTTCCAACCCGCATCGTAATACCCAAACCTGTTTTCTTTAATATTTACTTGCCTCTTTTGTGGGGGTGGGGGGATGCTAATTATGAATTGGTGTGGCTAACTTTTGTGCTTTCAGGTATCTGTGCAGATATAGCAGGGGCAAAGCATGAGCATTGGTCATCTTTTGCACCTCTTCCATTTGAAGTTGTGATTTCTGCTGGGCAGAAGGCCAGGGAGGAATCCTGGAGTGGTGCTTAGCTCTTCCCTTGCAATTTTCCGTCCTGCATTAACTCCAAAACATACCATTCATTCTGCTTCTTATGTTTTCTCTTTGCATCTAAGTTGGATTTTAATATCTCTTGTGTTGAGCAGGTGGCGATGATTCTGATCGGAGCAAACGTGTTCGCGACATTAGTGACTTATCTGGAGAGGGAAATATTGAGAGTATGCTGTCAGTTGAAATGGCTCTAAGAGAATTAGCTTCCCTGAAGGTTTCTGTTTGTTTCTTTAATCATGGTTCCTATTATATGTCGTAAAAGCTGTGTAGTATATTCTGGTAAACAATATTTTTTTCTGCTTTAGGTTGAGGATGCTGTTATTCTTGCATTGGCACAGCCTCGGCGCTCAAATGTCGTCCGTCAATCCTCTGGTATGCGTTATGAGTTATGATTTTGTGAATTTTTGTTCTGTTGGTTTCAATGAATGATACTGATGTTGTCTAGTTTGTACTCCTCTCATCTCACGTTTATCTGCTATATGCATATACACGTCAAAGTTGGCCATCTCCTAGAGTTCATGCACTTTTTCTTGACACCGTATCTGATGTTACATAATTGCAGTAGGGCATGTCTTCTTCTGGCCATGTAAACCTGCATATTAGAAGTTGTGCATGAGAACTTCAATGATGGTTTACCTTCACCATTTTGCCATCCTAAAGACTATTAATAACTTGACTGCTTGCTGAGCATCCAGTGGCACATGTACTTTTCCTTAATGATTAATTTGATAGTCTTGCTGTTCCATCTGTGTCCAGTTCTCTTATGTTTCAACCCCTAGTCCATCTTTCGTGAGTGCTAGCTGTGTTTTGAGTTTGAAAATAGAATAAAACTTACTCTGTATTTTATGCTTTTGTTGCTTGGCAGATCCTAAATCATCTGTTGACCCCAAGTTGATGGATGCATATGGTAAGGAACATGCTTGATCCACTTGATACAAATTTGGCCATGTTCGATTTGGAATACCTTGATCTGCTGGTTATTTTAATATTCTCCTTAACTAGGATTGGTAGATCAATTATCTACAGTTATATTTTTAGAAATTGTTAAATGAAGTGCTTTCTATGTCATTCTCCCTTTTCTGAACTCAATTCGCCCACCCCAAGTTTTGAAGAAAACCTGCTTTTTATTTGAGAGCAGCTGGATGAATCCCTTCTTGATCCTATGTTCTGTACATATAGACTTTCTTTGGGGCTGCTATGCAGATGTTAGTTAAAGATGCAACTCCTTTTATAAATCAGTTTTGTCGTCTTGAAAAAAGTACATTAACATAAATCAGTTACGTCTCCCCATTCTGGACTTCAGTATTTGTCTTTTTTCTAGGTGTTTGGTATATAGGTCATGGTTTGCTAATACTGGAGGCTGTTGACTTGTTGATTTGCTGTGGTATAAGAAATGCCTTCTTCGAGATTTTGATTAAGATTTTTGTGTTTTTGGTTGCAGAGTTGAGCCAAGAGGAGTCAGAAGATGTTCTTTTCAAGGAGGTCTGTTGTCTTCTTTGTTGATTTAGTTATTTTGTTCTGGAGCCATTTCCTCTTCTGTTTGTTGTATTGGCCCTTTATATCAATTGGCATGCTGAGCCTTTTCATTTCCCTCATAGCATAATGAAGTTAAAACTTTAGTATGTTTTAATACATATCATACTCCTTTACCTATCAAAAGAAAAACGAAGTTAAACGATGTTTATGAAGGTTGAGCTTTTTCATTGTTTCCCTCATAGCATAATGAAGTTAAAATTGTAGTATGTTTTAATACATATCATACTCTACCTATCACAAGAAAAAAACACTCCTGGTCAGACCAATTTTGCTGGACGGAAACTTTGTAATCTTTTAGTTGAATGTTGAAACTAGTACAAGTTACAAAGTCTTGAGGAGTATTTGGTTTTGCCACTTGACCAATCTCGTTGCATTAGTTCCACCACATGATGAGCCATTGCTAAAATTGCAGGCTTGGCTTACATACTTCTGGAGGAGAGCAAAAGTGCATTGTGTAGAAGAAGATATTGCAGAAGAGAGGCTTCAGTTCTGGATTAGCCGTAGTGGGCAAACACCAACCACTCATGATGCTGTTGATGGTAATTCATTTCCCCTACTTTTTCTTGAATAAAGAAATACAATCCATACTACTAATAAAAGTTCAAATAAATATTCTCAAGAAAATTTCAAATAATGGTCTTAGCTTTCACATTCCATCGTTGCAACTTAGACAGTTCCATTCGAGCCTTACACGGAAATTCCTATTGCAAAAAAGTTTCTTCCTAATCTGTCCTTGTACCTAGAATCCTATTATGTTTAATCAAGCTATAAGCATAAAAAAAATTGTTAGTTATTTTATACTACTAATGAATGCCCAAACACCTGCAATAAATAGCCGAGTCTCATGTTCATTATATTAACTCTCAGGATGTCCCGTTTTGTGATGCTAGCTTGAGTAGGATAGGGGGTAAATTGGTCTGTCTACTGCACTCCACCTTTTAAATTTTAGGAAATTACTCCCTCTGTCCAAATTAATGTGATGGTGTTTTGACTTGGTGCAGAGTTTAAGAAAGAAAGGAAGACCTTTAAAACTTTTGGTCTAAAACAAGCCCATAGATATTTGTGTGATTATCATCCCATTAATGGTAATATGAGTATTTTAAAGTTAAATTTTAAATTGAGTATATAATTGTGTCATTCTTTTTGAGGCTGACTAAAAATGAAAAAGTGTCCCATAAATTGGGATAGAGGGGGGAGTATGTTTAACATGGAAACTGAAGTCTATTGAGAAATATGCACACATGTAGTGTCTCACTAGTTTTTTTTTGGATTGCTAATATGGAACTTTGAGAAGTTGCTGGGGTCAATGCAATTGTGGCAGAATTGGAGAGAAGCCAAGCCGTTGCTTGTCAACCCTTTACAACAACAACAACAACAACAACCCAGTATAATCCCACTAGTGGGGTTTGGGGAGGGTAGTGTGTACGCAGACCTTACCCCTACCATGAGGTAGAGAGGCTGTTTCCAATAGACCCTCGGCATCCTTCCCTCCAAGAACTCCCCACCTTGCTCTTGGGGTGACTCGAACTCACAACATCTTGGTTGGAAGTGGAGGTTGCTTACTATCAGAGCAACCCCTCTTGTCAACCCTTTAGGACTTATAAATTGAGTTGGCCTCGATGAGGATGTCGAGTTTCAAAGGGTGCAGGTGGTTTGTTAGGGGTCCGACTCTTTGAACTTGACATGAAAACAAGAGTGTTGTCATGAGGTATACCCAGCAAAAGTGGGTGCTGGGAGAAGTTACAACCAAATAGTGTCTCACAAGCTCTAGCAATGGAATTTTTCAATTTAAACAGCTNACACACACTCTTAAGGGAGTTACACTTTGCTCGACCTGCGCAGAAATTAAGATGTCCCTAAAAGCACGTTAAGAGCTTCCACTTGTCATGGTTGCGAAGTCCATACTTTGTAGGCCTTGGTGGAAAAGCTATGTAGTGTAAAACTATAACTGGCATTACTTTGTAGGCCTTGGTGCAAAAGCTATATTTGTGTACAACTATAATTGGCAATGGTCAGATTGGACCCACAAAGCTAGTGTTACCTAGACTTCATGTTGTCAGTGGTGCCATAGAATATGCTTTGTTGGCCTCGGTGGAAGAACATTATTTGGAAAGCTATAATTGCTAATCACAGGCATTGGTTAGCATTGGACCCGCACCTAGAGTTGCTGTTGTCAGTGGTGCCATAGAATATTATCTTCTATAATTTTGTCTTCCATCCAGGTGCTCTATCTCTTTGTTTCTTATTCTACATATTTCTGAAGGACAGCTGAAAGAATTGAAACTCTTCACTCTACCTGATCAAAAAAAGAATTGAAATTCTTCTCTCCCTTCCCCACTGATAGGGCTTGACATAACCTTCAGATTGAGTTTATTGCTCACTGGAAGTTGTTACCAAAAAGTTTTTTCCTAGTTTTTACCAAAAATTCCTTCCAGCTTTTTTTAAAAAGTTTATAGATTCTTGGCATGATGGTGGTGGTTTGAGGTAAACCATTATATGTGAAAGGATGATTAACCATTTTAAGGAAAGGTTGGTTAACCGCTTTAAAGATTCCAGGAACCGTATACTGTCATAGTGTGCCCTTATATATACTTTTTTTCCTTATATTTAATCAACTTAAGTAGAACCATTCTCAGCCAACTTTTTTCCTGTTTCTTTTTTCTGTTTAATTAAGAACCACTAGTTATTGAGCAACTAACTACACATTTTATAGGTTAGAATTATTTTGGNTTTTTTTTTTGGGGGGGGGGGGGGAGGGGGATTCAAGTGAGAAGAATGGATGAAAAAGAGATAAGGGATTCAGGTCAAAAAAGGACGCTGCCAGAGGAAAGAACGATGACTTGAGATATAACTTTGTGGACAACATTATTAGTCTGTTTCTCTTTTTTAATCATTCATTCCTGAGGTCTTGAATGCTGAAAATCAGAGGTCTTAAGAAACAGAGGGGAGTGATGATTTGGAAATTGTAAGAACTGGCTGGGGTCTGGCTAAAGGTGGAAGTAAATAAGTAGAGTGGAAAAATTGATAATTTCAATCAAAACCGTCTTACGATTCTGTATAGAATTCCAAATGGTAATCTTTTGCTCTTTTTCACAGTGGAAAGAGGTTTAATAGAATTGAGGAAGCTGGGGATTGAACAGCAGCTGTGGGAAGCTTCTCGTAAAGAAATTGACCAACCTTCGGTTACTAATGGCAAAATGACTGCGGAGTCAGAGGCATCTCCATGATGGACAATGTAGTTGTTTGATATCTATTCTTTTAGGGATTGTACCCTTTTTTTTTCTTTTTCAGTTTACAGTTCTGATAGATATTATTTCTTCCTCATCCTTTGATTTATTCTTTCGGTTTGTTTTCCTGGAATTTTGAAATGGTAGAGCTTGAGGATCTGAGAACAGATAAATTGTAATTAGTTGTTTGTATAAGTGATATCGTCTGTATATTTGAGCTGTGATGTTACTTTGTTAAATCAAATAATTTTCATTAATAACAGAAGACAGTAAAAAAAATATATCTGAAATTAGGTGAGAGATATAACCATATACGTAATGCACTGTTCGTCATGTCCCCATCATTCTCTGCCTGTCTTCAATAATATCCAACTGGACTATGCTTCATCCGTTGCTTTCAATATCACCAATGAAATGTTGGACAGAGAAAATGGATACAATTCAATCAAAAACTAGTACTAATGAATTTATTACTTTATGTCATGTACCGTATACTGTCTAAGACGTTAATGCATTGCGTAGTCTTATTCCTTTATTAGGAATTGGGTTTAAAAAGCTTTTCTTTTATTTCCAGTTTTCCTGTGATTCGAAGTTGAAACAGGGAAGAATTGAATAGTTACACGTGATGATAAATTTTGGTAAAAGCTCAGTGTTCCAAGCAGAAGGAAGAATACAAGCTAAAAGCAAGTGTAAGTGGGAAAATTCTTGAGTTACTCAAATACAGGTGTCCAAGTGGACTATACAAAACTGTGAAACATTATTATTGATGGCATGAAATTCATAAAAAAAGAGCATCATCTTTCATCTTTGAGCGTGCAAAAGATATAAGTATGTCTTTTTGGAAACTGCAATCTTTTGTGTGTTTTTCACGCTACATATGAATGCAAGTGAAGTTATACAATAGTCAATCTTCTTGCGTCGTTATAGGCGCTAAAATCGGGTGTTACTGTTGATCTTTCATTAAGATATTATTACTACTCCGAATCCGAAATACTTATTTATTCCATGTTGTAGCAGGTCACTATAGCTAATTTCAGTTGTTATAGATAATTAATTATAATTATTTTTTAGTGCAAAAGTTCTTTTATACCTCAGTGTAGAGAAGTTAAAGCCGAATGATAATTCATAACCTTGTTACCGCCCAAAAAAGATGCATTGACCTTAAATAATTCAACGAATTAGGTGCACTACATTTCATAGGTTAGTTAGGGAAGGTTAGAGTTTGAGAAATGCTAAAAAGTCGTCAAAAAGTGTCTTTGACTTGTGTTTTAAGTGTTAACACTTAACAGCTAATTTCCGAGTGGCACTAAAGTGATATTAATTTCTTGGAAAGCAATTTCAATACTACTTCTAGTATTTAGCTCAAAGGAAAACAATATCTCCGACTAAATTTTATCACAAGATCTCAAATCTTTCAAATTGTTCTATTTTGTATGGTTTTGATCTTGGGAAAAGGCAGGGATAGAGCTGCATAGTTTGAAGGTTCAATTGAATTTTTTTCGTAAAAAACTTATACCGAAAATTTTCAAGAAAAGCTTCAAATTTGCTTATGCACTCTACGAAATGGTTCAAATTTGTCATTCATTAGTAATTGAGATCAGATTCATCCTTACTGTTATAAAAAAACAAAAGCTAGATTTTCCCTTATTGAACAACGGCATAAGTTTTTCAACATTTGAGCCTTTCTAACAAGTAAAAAGGTTCAAATTTATCCTTAAACTATATGAAATGGTTCAGATTTACCCCAAAAACTTTCTAAAGTTTCTTGCTTGTCGCTAAACAAAGGTTGGACCATGATAAGGCTGTCATAAAAAAAGGATGGAAGTTTAAATGTCCATCTGTCTGCTTTTGGCAGTTATATATACAAACAAGTGGGAAAAAAGGAATGATTTAAGTAAGGTGCAACTTTTGTAAAGGTTTCTTCTGCTTAGAAGCTATAATGGGGTTCTTGTGAATTTGTGTGAAAAGTGAATTGACAAATCATGATACTTCATTATTATAATATAGTAACACACTCTTTTTCTTGTGAAGTCCAAAGACTATCATCCCTTCTACCTAATACGTACATAAAGAAAATGTTTTTACACTGTTGCTGTATTTGATTTAAAGTATATGCCATTATATATCTACTTTTAGTATTCATTATAAAGATTCTAATTGATCTTAGTGGACCACATCTCATTTTCCCATGTTTTATCTAATGTCTATGAGGTGCTGTATTTTTGCTCTCATTTTTCGTGGGCGTTTCGACATAAGAATTGTAAAATTCAAAAAACAAAAATGAAAAAAAATTTCAAGTGAAAATGATATTTGAAAATTAGAGTTGTGTTTGGACATAAATATAATTTTGGGTTGTTTTTGAAGTTTTGTGAGTGATCTGAGTGAAAATTTTGAAAAATAGCTTTTTGGAATTTTTCAAATTTTCGAAAAATTCCAAAATGCATCGTCAAGTGAAAATTGGAAAATTTATGACCAAACGTTGATTTCAAAAAAAAAGTAAAAAATTTTCGAAAAAATTAAAAAATTTCTTATGTCCAAACGGGTTCAGTTACTTATCTAAGCATATGTTGCTCTCATTTTCCCTTGGAAAATTACTTTGAATCTATACCAAATAGTATCAGTGTGGAAAGATGTCTAAGTGATCTGATAAATAGATATTTCCTTCGTCTCAAAAAAGATTATCTTAGTGGGCGTTTGGACATAAGAATTATAAAATTTCAAAAAAAAGTGAAATTTTTTTTAAATGAAAATGGTATTTGAAAATTAGAGTTGTGTTTGGACATGAATATTATTTTGGGTTGTTTTTGAAGTTTTGTGAGTGATTTGAGTAAAAATTTTGAAAAATAGCTTTTTGGAGTTTTTCAAATTTTCTAAAAATTTCAAAATTCATGTTCAAGTGAAAATTGAAAATTTTATGACCAAACACTGATTTCGAAAAAAAATGAAAATTTTTCGAAAAAAAGTGAATTTTTTTTTATGTCCAAACGGGCTCTTAGTTTGACTTAGCACAAATTTTAATAAAGAAAAGATGGACTTTTGAGAATATGATCATAAATAAGCCATAACATTTGTGTGATTGCAAATTTTTGAAACTTGTGGTATGAAACTTGTTATAGCATTTGTGACTATAAATGCTTCTTATTAAGAAAATATTAAAAGATGTCAATCTTTTCGAAACAAACTAATAAACAAATATTGACAATCTTTTTAAGACAAGGGAGTATTTTACTTAGAATGTCAGACCTTTAATATCCAAGGAAAGTCATAAAATAAAGAGTATATGTTTTGTGCTTTCATCTAGTCTAAGTAAATTTACAATAACAACTAACTTTTCATAATAAAACTGATATGGTAACTTAGAAAAAAAAAATTGCTATGATAAGTTAAAAATTAAGTTGATTTAGAGGCATATTTAGAGGGTTGGTTACTTGGTTATGTCCTTACTGATTCACGTAAATCCGGTAGGCTTTGCCCATACTTTGTAAAAATTCAAATATTTATAAAAATTTGATTGTGAATACAGTAATTGTTGTAGTTTTGACTTGAGGTCACTTTAACCATCCAAAAATTTTAAATTTTGAATTTGCCTTTGCTACTAGTTTACATAGCTTAATTTCTGAAAGAAAAGTCTAAGTAGTGTTGTAAAAGGCGTTTTCGGGGCAAGGCGCACCAAAAATGTCCCGAAGAGATAGTGTAGGCGAAAGTCTCAAGATGCATATGCCCATCAATTTGGGGCGTATACCCAGGCGTTCGAGGCACGTTTTTATAGTGAGGCGTAAGCCCCAGAGACTTTTTCAAATTAAAACATTTTTATCTTGTCCGCTAGTATGCTAATATCTCCCAAAAGTAACAAATATTCAATTTGTTTTTACAAATACAAAGAGAACTCCATTCTCATTCATAGCAGCAAATTCAAAGTTCAAATTGCAGGTTAGTCATCCTTTTTGTTCCTCCATGTAGAAATCTTTATTCTTTTCGACTTAAGTTACTTGTGCTTGTAAGTAGCGTATAATATATTGATTTGATTAGTTTTTTGTGGAGATGAAACACATCTATCTATCTCTCTCTCTCTCTCTCTCTCTCTCTCTCTCTATATATATATATATATATATATATATTCATATATTTATAATTTTCTTTAATTTTTATGTAATTTTACTTGTTTAAAATATTTATTGTAATTAAATTAATTTATAAAATATTAAAAATCAAATATCCATGGAGTTTACGCCCGTACCTCGGGGCTTACGTGTCATATGTAAAATGAGTCGCCTTACGCCCACGCCTTTTAAAACACTGCTGAAAGAAAACTATGATTCTGTCATGCTCTTTACTTGAAGATGAAGCTAAGAGGATTTTTTTCTGTGAAGACTCTTTGGTCATTTTTGGTCATTTTCACACATTTAGTGAGACATGGAAAGTATTCTTGTAAAGCCACTTTCAAGCTTCAGGAAAGAAACATGCCTTTCCTGTTTTAGCTACCTGCCCAAAAATGTGACATAGCATGTGCTGGTTTTTTACTTTGTACTCATTGGCTTGGTAAACTAAAACTCATATTTATAGGAGTACAACTTGTGATCTTATTTTTATGATTACAAGGGTATTATTATTAAATTAAAATAAAAAATTTAAAATTAAAACTTCTTAAATATAATTTTTTCTAAAATAGACTAAAAATGTTATGTTTCTTTTAGTTTTTTATTCAGTGTTCGATATTTATATTTGGGATCAGATTAATTCGTTGGCGTCACATAAAACTCATTAAAAGAAAGAATAGATGAGAGGGAATTAACAAGACTGTAAATTCTGAGAAGTAAATCAGAATTTTCAGAGAAAAGTGGCAAGCACATTTCGCTTTCAAGAAACCAAACCCTCTTTGATGAGTGCTGACACAAACCTCATGTAGGCAAGGTGGGGACCAGCTAAGAATTTCCTCTCTGGTCATTTTGGTCTCTAATACATGTCTCTCTCTGATCAATATTTCCATGCCAACAGTCTACAGACAAGTAATGATATAAAAGTTTTATTATGATATTGACATGTTATATTAAGCATGCTATTTCTTTAATTCCCTCCCCCAATCCCCACCCCCACCCCAACTTATTCATTCCACGACTCTCAGTCTCTGCCCTCCACTAAGCTACATTATATAGCTCATCTCTTTAACTACTTTCACTCTCAAGCTCTCTCTTCTTCTTTTTTCTTACTATCAAGAATGAAATTGCAGACTTCAAAAACAATGGCTATGGCTATTTTTCTGTTTCTTTTTTGTGTTTCTTTAGGAATTGTGTCTGCATTGCCTCATCCAGACAAGATCATACAATTGCCAGGACAACCTCAAGTGGGGTTTCAACAATTTTCAGGATATGTTACTGTTGATGATAAGAAACAAAGATCTCTCTTTTACTACTTTGTTGAAGCAGAAACAAATCCAGCTTCAAAGCCTCTAGTTTTGTGGTTGAATGGAGGTACACAAATTTGGAAACAAATCTTTTTGATCTGAAAGCATTCTTGATACTGTTATTTGTCTTCTTTTTTTAATCTTGATAAAGTTTCAAACTTTTTTGAGTATTTGCATTTGTTTTGTGTAGGACCTGGATGTTCTTCAGTGGGGGTTGGTGCATTTTCTGAAAATGGACCATTTAGACCAAGGGGACAAGTTCTTGTTAGGAATGAACACAGCTGGAACAAAGGTGAGATCACATTATATTTAAGATAATTTTCCAGTTATTTCCTCTGGTAAATGCATAGTTATTGAGAAGTAGAAAATGATTGTTTTTTCTTGAAATATATTGCAGAGGCAAACATGTTATATTTGGAGAGTCCAATCGGAGTTGGGTTCTCTTATTCAAATGATACTTCTTCCTATGAGACAGTAAATGATGAAATAACAGGTATTTTACCCACTCTTAATTACGCTTTCCATATGTTTTTATATTAATTCAACATGCATTTCACGTTAAGACTGTAAAATTCCAACTTTTGGTTCATCTCCAAAAGCTTGTTCCTTTTCATCTTTTCTTTCTCTCTTTTATGATGAGCATGTGATTACTGATCTTTTTGTTTTAGCGTTAATGAGGATTCTGGAATCTTTATGATTCTTTATGATATTTATACGACTTAATTGAGCTTTGCCTTTCTGAATTTTAAATTACTTGCTTTATATCTCTTTGCATTCTAAAGTCGTTTTCTTTTTGTATTCTTATAGCCAGAGACAATCTTGTATTCTTGCTACGTTGGTTCCATAAATTCCCACTGTATAGAAAAAGCAATTTGTTTTTAACTGGTGAAAGTTATGCAGGTAAGATTTATTCCTTATAAGTGCCATAGCTGGGAATTTATTTATTATTTTTATTTCTTTTATTCTTGGTTAATCACATTTTTGGCTTGTTTGGTTACAGGACATTATGTACCTCAGCTTGCAAAGCTCATGATGGCATTTAACAAGAAGCAGCAGATTTTCAATCTAAAAGGAGTTGCAGTAAGTTTACCTAATGAATTCACTTTTACAATCCAAAAGTTTCATAAAAAGTTGCAGATCCTAAGTTGTTTATCTTTGATAATATGCATTGTGTTTGTATTACATGTCATTCAGACTCTAACATTTCATTGTCCAACCATATTACAGAGGCCGATCCAGAATTTAAACTCTTTGGGTTCAGCTTTTAAGGTTTTTAGCATTGAACATATGATATTTTTATGTATTCATATCTACTATTTTTGCAATTTTAATGAATGTTACCCATAAATTTTTACCCCGCGTCGTAAGTTATGAGTTCAATTGAACCTTGAACCTGTCACTAGTGACACACTGCATCCGCTCCTGACCATATATATGTATGTGTATGTATGTATGTATTACAAAAAATGAGTTAAATATACATTTTAGAACCTGCTCTCTCAACTCAGAGTTCGCGATGTCTAAATTTTGGATCAGCCACTTACTTAAAGGAAAAGTTCTTCATTTTAATCACTTGTTTTTCCTGTTTCATTGCAGCTAGGTAATCCGGTTCTGGAATTCGCTACTGACTTTAATTCAAGGGCAGAGTACTTCTGGTCACATGGTCTAATATCAGATCCAACATACAGAATGTTTAGTTCTGCTTGCAATTATTCGCGATATGTCAGCGAGTACTACAGGGGCTCTGTATCGCCAATCTGTTCAAGAGTCATGAGCCTAGTAAGTAGAGAAACCAGTAAATTCGTGGACAAGTACGGTGTTACTCTTGATGTTTGTATTTCGTCAGTGCTTTCCCAATCCAAGATTATAAGTCCCCAAGTAAGTGTTCTCCTTCATTTGATAGGTTTCTCTTATGTTCTTATCACACTATATTGACTATACTCTTACTAATTACCAGGAAAATGTCGAGAAGTTAGATGTATGCGTGGAAGATGAAATTGTCAATTACTTGAACCGGAAAGATGTGAGAAGGGCCCTTCATGCTGAGCTTGTCGGAGTACGTAGATGGGCAGTTTGCAGCAGGTAAGCTTTCTTTCCTTGCTAACAGGGCCACTAGCTCAATGAATTTAACTTCAGCATGTAGAAATTATTTACACTGTAAGTGTATTTTAGCCTGTTGTATAACCTACCTTATTTTCAGGTTACTTTCTATAGACGTTAAACTCATAGCTGAATAGTACAATATGACGCCTATCATTCTATAGGCTTCAACTTATCAGAAACAATAATAAGCACCATGGGCTAGTCTCTTGAGTTTCATGAGTAATATTTAGTTATTTACAAACCCTTCGCCAGAAAAATACACACTGCATATCTAGGTCAAGAATTTATTTTTATGTATATATATTACTATATGTTTAATCCCCTTAGTTTTTTGTGTGTTTACTTTATTTTTTGACACCCCTTAATTCCTGACTCCGCTACTGACCTCTTGTACAATAATGTGCAAGCTTGCAACTCTCCCTAAAGAACAGACGGTTCTCAATGCACCTACAAAAACCAGGGAAATGAATATGTTTCTTTACACAGCGGACGAATGCCAGTAGAATCAATACATTTCATTCAAAAAATATATATACTCGGTTAGGAAGTTCAAGTCAAAGCTTTACTTTCTGTTTGGCTTCTTTGAGGGGGAAAACTTCTTATATTATGATGAATCGATATAAAATCCCTCTCACTGCTGCCACAGTATTCTGGACTATCAACTGCTGGACATAGAGATACCAACCATCTCCATTATAGGAATGCTTGTCAAAGAAAGAATTCCAGTATTAATATACAGGTATACATGCAGCCACATTCAATTTTTCTTCATACACTTGTATGAGCTCGGCAATTTGTTCGGCATCTAACACCAATGCTTACAAATCTTTAACAGTGGGGATCAAGATTCTGTCATTCCACTAATTGGAAGTCGCGCAACTGTTCATCAACTAGCAAGGCAAATGCGGCTGAACACAACTGTCCCCTATAGAGTTTGGTTTGCAGGGCAGCAGGTAGTACGTAATATTTTTCCTTATGTCCCTTATGTTAAAAGTCTTCTCGAGCCGAGGGTCTATCGGAAACAACCTCTCTACCCCTCGGAGTAGGGGTAAGGTCTGCGTGCACACTACCCTCTCCAGACCCCACAAGTGTTATTTCACTGAGTCGTTGTTGTTGTCCCGTCCGTGAAAAAAAGCCAACTATATTATTTTAAGACCACTTTTCAAGCAAAAAGTCATTTTCTTTTTCTTTTTTGCTGTGTTTAGGTTGGTGGATGGACACATGTATATGATAATATCCTCTCCTTTGCTACTATTAGAGGTGCTTCTCATGAAGCTCCTTTCTCACAACCTGAGAGATCACTTGTTCTGTTCAAGTCATTTCTTGAAGGCAGGCCACTCCCTGAAGTTTTCTGATCAGATCCGAAATTGGTGTGACAAACATCTAGTAGAGTAAATAGGTCCATCTTGTAAAAGATTGCTCCAAAGATGAGAAGAAAAAAGAGGATTAGAAGAATTAAAGTGATAACCATCAGACAGTGAAAAAGAAGAACTAAAAGTGACTACTGGAGACTGAAGAAACACAAAAAATTGTGTTCTGAACAGCATATCTGCATGTAGATGAGTGCAAGGGTGTAGAGTGTTTGTAATTTTTATTGGAAGCAAAAGATTCCATGTTAAAACATTTGATCTTTTGTGGAGTAGTTTATACTATTTGATGTGTACAGCCTAGGCATCAAGTGTTTAAGATTAGTTATTTTACTTGAACTTGATGAAGAAATTCGAACTTCACTTTTTTCTCATTATTCTAGTTTTATATATCAGCTTTATAGAGTATAATGCTATTTAGCAAGTCATTGTTGGAAAGAATGTTTTAATATTTTGAAACAATGAATTGGTAAATCATTTGATTTCTTTAAACATCGAAGTTGTTTACTAATTAAGATCTATCTTTTTGTAAAATTTTATATTACATTCATTATTGAATCTTCTAAATTTACTCTTAATGTCTAGAGTTGTGTTCTGGACAGCATGTCTGCATGTAGATGAGTGAGAGTGTAGAGGAAAAAATATATTTTGTGCCTCATTTCTTTTTTGTCTCACAATTTTTTGGACTCAGAATTTTGTGGACCCAAAAGTATAAGCTAAAGAGTCCACAAATTTGTGAAATAGAAAGAGGTCATACATAATTAATGTCAGTTATGTGAGGCACACCATAAAACGATATAGAGAGCCTAGACATCAAAAGAGTTGGTGTTTAAATAGCTGTTTTACTTGAAAATGAAAAAATTCAATAACAACTGGTTCTTTAGTTTACATCAAACTACAGATTTTATCCATTATTCTAATTTTATTTATCATCTTAATATAAGTAATGTGAATAAATTTGATGTTCCAAAATTCATGAATCCATTTATGGGCACTAGCATATAAATATGGGTTAATACTTTGGTAAAAAGAGATGCAATCTTGGATAGGCAATTTTATTCAAATCTGTTTGTGAAACCTTGATGGTGAAATCCCAAATATTGAAAATACTAAACTTTTTCTTTTATAGTTTAACTATCCGGTATTATGTATATTGGCTCGACTAATTCGAATTCGTATCACATAAGACACATTAAAAGGGAAGTCGCTCCTTATCAGAAATTTCTACATTACAACGACTCAAAAGCGAAATCTTTGAGTAAGGATTGATCCTATTAAAGAGCAACTTTTTATGAATGATACTCCAGTTTGACCATCAAAGAAGTATTCTTATGTATATTGAAGTCTTAGACAACTGAAAAAATGAACAAACTAACATGTTTGTTTTGCACAATTTGAAACTAAAAACACTTGGGAAAAGATCGGCAAGACACAAATAACTTCTATAATACTAATAAAATTCTTCTCAAATGATTTCTGCAAAAACAAATTGTTATTATCAAAAAGTTTGTTTCTTTTGTAAATTTCACTCGACAAAGTAATTGTTCAAATAAACAAATTTTAGAAATTTGAACAAATAGATTAGTTAAAATCGGAGGAAGAAAAACACGGAGAAGTATGTGACTGAACCGTACATACAAATAAGTACATGGGCTAACGAAAAATTTGCAATAACACAAAGCAGCAGACTGTGTGTCCGGTGCACTAAGTTTCGCGACGCTATGCGCGAAATTTGGTGAGGTCTGGACTATAAGTATATTTCTGTAACAGGCCTGTTTCCACAAACGCGTAACCTCGTTATCACGCTCAGTTACGCCGAGCGAGGCTGCACTTTCCCTCATCGTCACTGTCGAACCAAAAAAAAAAAAAGGAACCATCTGCGAAATTTCTCTCTCTCTCTCTCTAAAAGTCTCAACGACCCAGAAAAAGCGGCAAAATCTAATTTGCTTTTTGAAAGAAAAGAAAAGGCAATGACCAATGAGTATCAAGACATGTACTCCATTCAGGCACGCTCTCCTCTTTCCTTCAAACTATTAGGATTAACTTTTTCTATTCAAATCACCACACTCATGTCCTTTCTTCCCTTTTTCACAAAAAATAACCCATATACGCATCGCACATTAATCATTATGAGCTCTTAGTTTTGCTTTACTTGCACTATGTGTGTATATCGTACTATATAGATCTGAATTATCGATTTATATTGCTTATTATAACGATCTTATAAGTGGGGAAGAAAATTTATGTGTTATGCAGAAAGAAGAGGAGAAAGACTCATTCGAGCTGGGATCTGAGGAGCCGGAGGCTCCGTTGCCCCTCACTGTCACTTCTCGGGTCTGTTTTTTAATTTTTAATTTTTTTATTAATAATGTTTTATTTATTGAGTAATGTGATTGAATAATTGAAGGGTGGAGCATTTGCATTGCAATTTGCAGGTGCTGTATATGTTGGGGGATATAACGGCGGGGCCGGCGTATAGGTTCGCCCAATGGCTGGAGCTGGTCCGTAAGCGCAGCAGCAATTACCGCTCTTCTGGATTCCCTCATCGGCTCCCCAGAGCCCATAGCATGCCATTAAGGTTCATCCTTGTTCTTAAACACAATGACTTATATTCATCATAATATTATCTTATACTAAAAAAACTGACATTGATGCTTAATCATGCTATTAGCCCAAGAATTGCATATTGAGCGCAAAATTGATGCGCTAGTCAAAGATAGTATAGTATGATTATAGTCTCCACATGGATTGAATTTAAACAATGCTCTAGTAATTCCTGGTTTAACTGCTATTCAGGATGATCAAAACTTGATTGGAATGATTACGAACTACAATTAACTACTAAAGTAAAGCAATTGAAATAAGGGTTTTGACATGATAGATGCAAGATTGTTATTCTGGATATGATACTGTTATATTTCACTCTAGAGGTTCTATCGATTCTCACAAATTTAATAGGTCATTAGCTTATACTTCTTATTCGACTCCTCTCTCGATTAAATCTAAATCTTTCAAATAAACTAATGTGAAGTGCGGTAAAACTTGTAAGAATCTATTGGTAGGAATGATCTAAGAGAAACTTCTCGCGAATATTTCTCAATCGTAATTTAAATGGTAACTCAAAAAGCTCTCTCGATTACTTCAAAGAATTACCAAAATAAACTAAGGCATACACTGCAATACTAAACATTATAAAGAATAAAATCACAACTATATTAAAGCTCCTCCAATAAATTCAAGCAATTAAGCAGTAGTCAAATCCATAAACAACAACCAAGTCATCAAATCATGTCAAACCCTAAGGTAAACTACTCCATAATTATGGAGGAGGTCATCGCAAATATAATTAAAGAGTGAGAAAATATCAATCTAACGTTATAATCCAAACTCCCGTATTGAATTGATGGAAAGATGATGAAATTCTGTGTCTTGTAGCCTCCAATGCTCTCCCAACTGGAAAAAATGCCCTACCGCGCCGCGCCATGCGCCGCGGGGAGCTAGTGCAAATTTCCAGCAGAGTGTAAAAATCAACTCTCTGAACTTTTCCACATGCGCACTGTGTGGGGCGGCGCGCCATGTGCCGCGCATGTGCAAATTTTATAGAGTATTTCTACTACTTCGGCTTGGAAAGGATACTTTCGTCCGGTTTTTACTCAGACTTCAAAGCTCCAAATCATCTATTTTAGCTCCAAACTTGTTTCTCCACTCGAAATGACATCCTACACAGTATAACACACGTAATAAGTACAAAGTATTAGCAATTAGGCTCAAATACAATCAAATTGTAGTATCTAGTGTGCAAAATGTAGCTAAAACACGAGCTCCTAGCCTACCATCACAGCACAACTTTGAGAGTTAGATTTAGACAGTGTAATCTTCAAAAGAAAAAAAGCATTAAATGAGATTTGATATTAGTGACTGTTTTTTTTAAACCTAATGTGAGTTGTCTTTCTTGAAATTTATTGTTATACTGCGCTTGAGTTTATTGCCAAGAGCTATAACTAATTATGGACCACAGTTTGCAAGTTGTGCTTTTTTATTTTTATCTTCAGTCGGTAGTTGCTAAATGACAGTTATTAGTACATTTATTTCATTTTATAGAGTGGTGTTTGGCTATTTATGACGTTTAAGGAAAAAAGGAACATTTTTGGTACAACCCAAATCAAAGTACCCAGAGGCGTATCTAGGTTAAGGGGTACGGGTTCACGTGAACCCATACTCCTCTCCCTAAATCATGTATAACAATGTCATATTTCTTCAAAATTATTTAAATATGTGTATGCACCCATGCTCACTCCTATGATGCAATTATTATTGGGTGCACCTCTACAAGTGATTGGCAGTTCAAATCCCATTCCAAACGGTCTTGTTTTTGGTACGGAGTATAGATATATATGTGAAACTTACTAAAATTTTAATAAGAATATAATTTTGAACCTATAATTTTAAAAGTGTAGTGGGTTCATGGTAAGAGACTAAAGTTAAATTAAACCCATCAAATATAAATTCTAGATCCACCTCTTCACAACAGTGCACCCATCCTCTTGAAATCCTGGATCCGCCTTTGTTAACCCACAGTATCTTGTTGTCTATAGATGCGGCTTCAATTTCCGAAGAGCATGTTGTTAAAGGTAAAACCAGAATGTTAAATTAAAGAGTTCCCAAATACATAAATGTGTCAATCTTTGTGGAATTGGCCAAAAAGGAAAGAGTACCATGTGAAATGAAATGTAGGAGTTGTAAGTTGGCTTGTTCTGTTCTGTTTCTATACATAGGACTCGGAGTAAAAGAACATCTTCTTCACAAGGAAATCAAGTGAAAAATAAGTACCTAAGTTTGGCAAAAGCTCTTTCCTTCAATGGTAGCTACTAAGTTGCTTAGAGTTGGGGGATGAAGTTTCTTTTGAGTGTGAATCTACAACCATGTTGACACTTCCTAAAAAAGGGAAGAATGAGAACTTTGATTAAATAAGTGACACCATCTCTTTTTAAAGCCCTTGTTCTAACACATCTTTTTCTTTGATGAGGTAAAGATTTCAAACTTTCAAGAAAAATTTCAAACTTTCAGATGAGAGCAAAAGTATTAGGTGCTGTTGTGGGCCCATATCCTTAAACGAATAGGAATTTAGTTCTTTTTTCTGTCGATTGTGCAAATAATTGCATGGACTCATTGAGCTCTATAAAATGTACAGACTGCAATTATAATGTAGCTCTAGTATAATTCTTGTTCAGTGCAGTAGAGTCGAGTCTTGATCAGGTTGATCCTCTACCATCTGAGCAAACACCAGAAGTAAATTTATGGGAGAGACTTGGCAAAGCCGCGGTTTTGGACATTGAATCAAACACCTTTTCATGGAACATGCTGTCTTCTCTTC